AAAATAGATTCGGACCGTCCACGCTCACAAGATCCTGAGCCGTCAAGATCACAGGACACGCGAGATAGCCAGCATAGTCTCCTGCGTGGCACAGACGTCAGTGTGTCTTGCCACACGGCGGGCTCTGGTTCGTCGAAGTTGCTGACTGAGCAGTCCTATGTGATTGAACTTTTTCTGCTTACACTTTGACCCCTCTATTTCTAATTTTTCTTTCAAAAATACCCATAAAACCCAAATTTTTACATTTTTTTTCAAAATTATTTTGAGTCTCGTTCTTTTTTTTTTCAAATATAACAAAAATTAAATTTAAATTAATTTATAAAAAATATATATTTTTTATACATTTTTAAATTGCTAAAATTTATCCAAGCCAATTTACAGGCCCGAGTATTACAACTCTGCCTCTTTTATGAATAAATTTGGTCCCTCATTCTCACTCTCTCACTCAATGGAACAACTGGGGGTATTGGGCCCTGAAGCTTGATTCCAGTTCACAAGTGGCCTCTTCCTGCGTACCAATCCAGTATAAGATTTCAAATTGTCAAATGAATCACAAATTTAATTTTTTCCTATTGCCAAACTTACTGATCTATTTGAAATGGGTGACCTTAAGAAATACTCGATTACCTTTTCCAAAATTTAAATCTCTCATCCGAGAGTCTGCATAACTTTTCTGTGTGCTCTTAACTATCTGGATGTTCTTTCTGATTTTAACTATCTTACCTGTAGTTTTCTCTACAATATCTGGATCGGATAATTTCTTATTACCCATCTCTAGTTTTATATTATCTTCAGTTTAATTTCTAGTTTTATTGATGATGATAATGTAGAATATGATTTACAAAGATGAATAACATAAGCTTTGGGGCTACTATTGAAACCTTTTTCTTTGAATTTTTAAACTCATACATTGTATATTTTCCAAAAAAGGAAAAAAATCATATATTATGCTATGATTTCTAATCATAATAATTTAAACTATTATCTATATTATATTTTAATCAATTAATAAATTTATTTAAAAATTTTATATTGATTTTAATATCATATTACTTTTTGAAAAGAAACTGTAATAGTATTAAAATTTAAATTTATTAATAAAAAACAATATTAATGTCAAAATTACAAAAATAGATAAATATGAAGTTTAATTATTTAAAAAGCAAAACTATTTAAATTATAATTTTTAATGGTAATTAATTATTAATTTCCTAAGTAATTGAAGTATTGAATTGATATATTTTAAATATTAATAAGTGATAAAAATAAAAAAAAAATTAAAATAGCTAAAATATAATTTAAAAATTTTTTAATTTAAGAAAGAAAATATGAGCACGTAAACTGGTAATTAGGCGTACTGGTTAAAACCAGGACTGTGAAAGCGAAAGAGCGGGCGAAAAATTATTGCAACTATCCAACTCCAAACACGAAAGTCACCCCTTTACTTCATAACTTTCTAAGTGGGTCCCACTCCTGCATAAAGGACCAAAGACCAATGGCCTTTTTCTTATCTAATTCAATGTGTCGTGTACACCGATGCAACGTGGCGAAATTTGGTTCGTAGATTTAAAATTCATCGTTCCTGCTTTTTATGGATAAATTTCGAGGAATTGGTAGATAAATAATTTATGTATAATTTAATATATATGCATATTTAATTTGATAGATGAGAATTTTATTTAATAACTTAATTTTCGTCAAAAAAACTTTAATGACAATCGCTAGATTTATTATCATGTTCTGAAATGTTTACTTTTTTTATTTTTTTATTTTAAAAAAGATTCGCAAATCCGGAAAAAAAAAGAAGAAATAAATTCGCCAGAATGGACGAAATTAAAAAAATCGAAATAACGTGTAACAGAAATCAGCGCGTAGTGATCACGCACATTGAGCCACAACTGCTGCTCCTATTTCAACGAGTTGCGTACTCTTCTTTACAGCGAATTGTATATCTCCACGTGGCACGTTGAGTCTGATATTTTTTGGGCTCTCTGGTTAAGTCTGAGCTAAGTATTTTCCGGATTTTCCCATGCGGTACATTAAAATTTTGAAGTTCCAAATTTAACCCTCCTCTGAAATCTTTTTTCTACATTAGTATACTTTATTTTCCAATTTTCACCTCGAGTCAATCACTATCATTTGCCAACAACCACTACGACCCCCGATAATTCGTCCCCCATTTTTCTTTATAACCCTGCTGAACAGCACCTCCACTTTCCTCACTCACATCTCTATTTTCTCTTCAACCAAACACATACAAGAGAACTAGAAAATAACAGGAAGAGGGGCTTCCTCAGGGGAAGAATCAGACATGGGGTTACACAGATCAAGCTTATCGTTGTTCTTACTGATGATATTCACCGCGTCATCGGCCGTAGACATGTCGATCGTGTCCTACGACCAAAGACACGCCGACAAATCGAGCTGGAGGACGGACGACGAAGTCATGACGATGTACGAGGCGTGGCTGGTGAAGCATGGAAAAGCATACAACGCCTTGGGAGAGAAAGAGAAGAGGTTTGGGATCTTTAAAGATAATCTCAGGTTCATCGACGAACACAACTCTCAGAACCTGACTTATCGGCTCGGGTTGAACCGATTCGCAGATCTAACCAACGAGGAATACCGGTCCATGTACCTTGGAGTCAAACCCGGTGCTACCAGGGTTACCAGAAAGGTCTCCAGGAAGAGCGACCGTTTCGCGGCCCGTGTCGGTGACGCGCTACCGGATTTCATTGATTGGAGGAAGGAAGGTGCAGTCGTCGGGGTCAAAGACCAGGGCAGCTGTGGTAAGTTCTTTTATTATCGGTTTAATTTTTAAATATTTCGCTGTAATTATTGCTTTGACCATCCAATTTTGAGATGATACGTTGATTAGTTGCTTTTCGAAATGATCGATTTCGTATATCAAAAGCTTGATTACGCCGAGTAATCTAGTTTATATCCAAACTTAAATAGTGTTTTATAATGTAATCATATAATTTTTGCGCCGTCTCGTCGTTTCTTTTCTTTTTTGGTCAAATCTTTTGTTCATCCAAATTTACGGGACTCTTGAAGAATTTTGGTTATTGCTTAGACTATAATTTCTGGATTGTCCCTGGCCTGTGATATTAAATCTAATCTACAAGAGAGAAAAGGTATTCAAGACTTGTTACTTATATAAAAATTTTATTTAAAAGATAATTTAGACGTATAAAGATTTGTGCGTAATTACTATTTTTTGGGTTTAGTTTGTATAATTTTTTAATCTTTTTCTACGTTCAGTAATTTTCTTTTATTTCTATTTCACTAGGAAATAAACTAATACCATATAAGTTTTTAATTAATTTTCTGAAATTACTTGATTTTTGGGATCAATTAATCAAAATTGAAAAAAATCCTCGGATAATAAGATTGTGGAGGGGCCGCCCCATGGCCTGACATAGTGCCCGTGGGCCGCCGTACAGGGCCCACTCAACTGCAGGACGAAACTCCCTTGCACTCAGCCTAACTGGGAAGTAGCCAAGATGTCCCCGTTTCCCAACTTAATTTGAAGAAAATATCAAGTAATTAGACCCTTTAATTTTAAGGAGCTGCTAAGTACTGTAGTACTTAGGCTATGTTTGTTAAAATATCAAAATTTTGAAACAGGAATTCAATAGTATGGATGAGTATTTAAAAGATGACTATTATGAGTACATTTTCTATTTGAAGCAACTGAGATGGTAATAGAGTAGGAGTAAAATGAGTTTGAACCAAACATGTCATTTTAGTAACTAAACTGAATTATTTTTCACTTACTAATAACAATTAGCTGGAGAATTATATTTTAGTCGTAATCTAGATGCCATTTTTGGTGGAAGTATGAAATATTGAGGGACGGAGTTGCATTTGCTTAGTTTGTTAAGTTTATTGGTTAAGACAAGATAGAAGTAGGTGTTTTGGTAAACATTCTTGTTGCTTTTTTCCGTTGGAAATTGGAATTGTGGAATTTCATGTTGGTGTTCTCTGTTTTCATAAGATAATTTGGTAATCGTTCATTTTGAAATGAAGGGAGCTGCTGGGCATTTTCAACAATTGCCGCTGTGGAAGGGATAAACCAGATAGTTACCGGCGACCTTATCTCCCTATCTGAGCAGGAATTGGTGGACTGTGATACATCCTACAACGAAGGCTGCAATGGAGGTCTCATGGATTATGCCTTTGAGTTCATCATCAACAATGGCGGCATTGACTCTGAAGAAGACTATCCATACCGCGCTGCTGATCAGAAATGTGACCAATACCGGGTTGGTGGCTTACCGACAAACAAGATGAAATCTGATTAACGAGGGACAAGTTTTCTCATTAATATTTCTTTCTTCTGCAGAAAAATGCAAAAGTTGTTTCAATAGATGGTTATGAAGATGTTCCAGAAAATGATGAGGCTGCATTGAAGAAAGCTGTTGCAAAGCAACCAGTGAGCGTTGCCATTGAAGCAGGTGGCAGGGCTTTCCAGCTCTATCAATCTGTAAGTTTTGTTTATTTCTTTCATATTTATGCTCAATGATTATATCTGCGGCTTAAGTGTATATACAGCCTCCTGTTTTTTTATGTCACAATTCAAGCACTTGTACATCATTCTTGGAGATTCTAAAGAAGGTAGTTTCATGTGATAAAAGAAAAACTTTCCAGATGTTTCGATCAAGGGGCCAATATTTGTTCAGAACTCAAAAAGTTAATATTATTGGTTGAGCATTTGCAAGATTCCGTAACCAATTCCTCCTTTGGCTGTGTGTTCACCTCTGTTACTTGAATTTCTTAGGGTGTATTTACTGGCAAATGTGGGACATCCCTGGACCATGGTGTTGCTGCTGTGGGATATGGCACAGAAAATGGTCATGACTACTGGATTGTAGAAACTCGTGGGGCAAAAACTGGGGGGAGGACGGGTATATTAGAATGGAACGGAATCTGGCTGGCAGTTCTTCTGGTAAATGTGGAATTGCAATTGAGCCCTCTTACCCTATAAAGAACGGGCCAAATCCTCCTAATCCAGGTCCATCTCCCCCATCCCCAGTACAGCCCCCTACTGTTTGCGATAATTATTATAGCTGTCCTGAGAGAACCACCTGCTGCTGCATATATGAGTATGGTAAATATTGCTTTGCATGGGGATGCTGCCCACTTGAGGGTGCCACCTGTTGTGAAGATCATTACAGCTGCTGTCCACACGATTATCCAATCTGCAACGTCAAGGATGGAACCTGCTTAATGGTAAGAACAAATAACCTTCAACATATTATATCCCAAGCAATTTACTTAAGTTGCGGTTTTGCTTATGATTCTTGATGGACATCTACCCTTCACAAATAAGTCCTCTTTTTCACTGTTTGATGATGTGAATTGTTCCTGCAGAGCAAGAACAATCCTTTGGGAGTAAAGGCCATCAGGCGCACTCCTGCTAAGCCTTACTGGGAAAATTTAAATGAAGGCAAGCGAAGCGCTGCATGAGCAGAAACCTATGCTTACAAGCAGTGGATGGGGGAAAGGAGCAGGCATGATGGGTAGGTGGCTGCATACTCTCCTTAGATTGCTGTTAAGCACAAGTAAGGAGCAGAGACGAACTGATGATTTACTATATGATTATTCAGAATCTCAATATGTACATAGGTTGTTATTAATCTCCATTGCATTTGAACAACAGACACAGCTGATAAGATTATCAATGTCAATTATGATCTAAATTCTGTGAATCCTGCGATCCTTTAGCATATACTAGTGAATTGGGTTAGCTACTCTGAAGTGAAAGAAGCTGGTTTGGGGTTGGTTTTTCTTGCCCTGTAAGGCTTTCTATTTGAGGACCCTACTTGATGTCCTCACTTGTATTTACGTGCAAGCATATTGTTGTTTTGTGATGTTTTGCATTGTGATCCTACTTGTTTTGTGATGGTTTTTTGGGGTAGGCATTGGCATGTTGTTGGGCCAAGTGGGATCCTTTTAGTCCTAACTGTGGCATGAAGGGATTTTACTTTAGCTTAGTCAAAGCTAAAGGACTAAAAAGTCGATGTCTTACCGTAATAATGGAGATGGATATAAGATAAATCATGAATTCACATAAACAACGCTAAAACTTCCAAAATTTCTTTAAATCATTCCTCCTCACTAGCGGCTGTTGAAGTGACGGATGATATGGCACCTAGAAGGGTGCTTTTGCTTCAAAATATTTGCTGATGTAGCATCATTTTTGACCTTTTCTGGCTGTACATTAACATCATCTCCTTTTCCAAACCACCTGACCACTCATCTTCTTCCTCATTAGCTCGGAAGAGCTCACTTCAACTATGCTAGGGGCGGGGCTCCAAATGAGATTGGCAGGGGGGGTTAATTGTATTGGGTTGGAATCATTGGAGGCCTGGAATAGACAACAGTAATAACTGCAGCAGGTGTTGGCTACTTATGTTTTTTTACGGGTCATTTTTACTTTTTGGCTTTTGGTAGAGATTACTTGTTTATTTGCTTTGATTCAAAAATATTTGCAGGAGGATTCTTTGCAGGATATAACAACGAAGATAGAGAAATGTTGCAGAATTAGGGTTTTAGCATAAAAAATTTATACAGGCTAGACAATTTGCAATGCTATAGTTAGGGATGATATTTTACATCTGAGCCTGTTTTATTTCATCCGTTTGAATTCTATTCGGTACAATCTCTTCTTGTTAAACTATATATTCAAATTGGGTCAGATTCAAGTTGGTGAAAAGAAGTGAATAGGTCGGAATGAGTTCGGACTTCATGTTCTGAAATTTGGCACAGCTTCAGAAAGAGCTTGCTTGTTAACTGGCATTTGACTTGGGTGTGTTGCGTGGAGGAGAAAGAGTGAGAAAAGAATGAGCCGTTTCAGTTGTCAGGTGAAAGTTGTAACACAAATAAAAACTCAATTATATGTTTGGATTAATAATATCAAAAAGTTCTTTTGAGGTTTGGGGACCATTTTCATCCATTGTGTCTGGAGGGCGAATGCCAAATGTCCCATCCAACTACTTGATATCCCTCTCTAACTCAATTATATTTGGGACCATTCTATGTACAGTACCCCAAGAGATAGGGATATATTGCCCCATAACCCCCGCTGCCCTTTGTCTCGATGTTCTCCTTAACATGGTAAGAATATATATATATATATATTTATAAAATTTTGAAATAATATGTTATGTAAATATATTGCATAAATAAAAATCTAAATACTAATGCCTTTGTCGCGAATCATAATTTCTAAATAATTGTTGGGACAACATAGGTTTGTGTTAAGTGTTGTTACCATCATATAATCATCGCCAACATCTTAAATGAAACCCAACACTTTGTTTTCACATATAATTATATATGTATACACTCATACACAAATAAATTACACTTCATTATGATAATGTCCTATGATTACCTAAACCATAGCAAGAAAGATGATGAATAATCAGTTTAATGGTGGTTTCTTGAGCAGTCTTAGCCTATCATCATATGTTCATCACCAACCCACCACCTAACCCTGTTCAATCAAAACACCCAAATTAAAATACTCTAAACCCATCTCTTTAATGGGATAAATACATGATTTTGTCCCAATAATCAAACTTTAATGCTCTGTCTCCTTCACCCCGAAAGGTCCAAATCCTAACTCCCTGGCTATCATCACCCCATCCCCTTTCTCTAAATTATTGCCCGTACAATGTGCTTTCTCTTCTCGAGTAGCATTTAATTGACACGAGGAAGACGACGACGACTCCACCACCACCGTCCTCCTGTTAGCCATTTCAGCTTCACTAATTGCTCCATCCCCTGCTGTATTCTTATATCTCTGGCAGCTTGTACTGATCATCATGTTGTTGATCAGAGCTGTGTCAGGAGCTTCAATGTCGGTACAAGAGGGTATAACAGAAGGGAGCTTTGATAGCAGAGCTCCAAGACTGCAAGACATGGTGGGCAAAAGCGGAGGGATTGACCAAAAAGGTGGTCCTGGTGTAATTCCATTTTGTGGGCTGTTCCATCCGAAGTTGACGGATTTGATAGCAGACTCATCTGGGTTTTCGGCAAATGATCGTTTGGCTCCTGTTGACTGGGATTTGTTCTTGTTATCTGTTTCTACGCTTTCGATAATCTGGGTATTGGGTTTGAGGATGTATGGATGTTTGATCGGTAGATATGACCTTTGAATTGCGAATACTCCGGGGATGCTCTGGAGATAGCTGAATTTTCTCTGGATGCTGATCACCAGATTGAGATCTTCCATAATCTGAAGAAATCATCTATGGAGTCAATGGAGACAGAGACACACTCGACTATACACACACACACACACATTATATATATACGTAAAGAGAGAAACGGAGACCTTTCCGAAAGAACCCAGTTGAATTATGCCTTCTCGGACATAAATTATGGCGATTGTCTGAATGCCTGACCTGAACTGAATTTCCCAAGCCTTCGGTTGCTGCAGGGTGTTTGGAAAGAAAGAAACCATGAGAAAGATTGAAAGGAAAAAGAGAAAAAAAGAATACCAGACTGAACTCCTACATTATCTTCCTTTTTCTAATCAATAGTTGATGTTCTAATTTGCTTACAGGCTCAACAGACACATTCCATGAAGAGATGAAGCTAGGATCATTTTCATTTGAGTTTTCTCTAAACACCCATTTATGACTGTTGTCTGCGGCAACTTTTCCCATCAATCTGCAGCAAAATTTACATGGAAAGAAAATTAGTCGTTCTGAAATATCTCTCAAGATGAATCAATCAATAATCGTTCTCACCCTTCTCCATAATTGTAGACTTCGTGAGACATTTTAAAGAAGATATCAGCACCAAACCTCCCCTTTATATACCCACTTCCCGCACGTTCACATTCATGGAAATCACAGAACCCGTCTTCCCAAACAAGAATCCTGAGTGATCAAACACAAAAATTTCAATCAAACAAACAAAATAGAACATGGGTTCTTGTCAAAATCATTCAGAATTACCATACCAGTTCCGTTTGTTCCCCTTTGATCGATCAAGCGTACTTCCTCCGAACTCCCACCTGCAACAGAGAGCAATAAGCACAAAATGATCAAACGTTAACATCATTTTAAAGCACTTTCTTACTTTGGAGGAGGGAAATTTCTTGGGAGGATTCTCCAGAAAACGGCGTAGACCCATTTGGATGAAGAAGAAGAAGAAGAATCAGAATGTGAGCAGAGACTTCTTAGTGTGTGCTGCAAGAGACAGTTGAGCATGGGGAGTCCACCTTCCATTGTGAAGCAAACTAACTCACCTTGTCCACGCGAAAAAGAAAACAGAGTTTAGCAACCAGCTGCTATAAGTGACAACTTATAACAAGAGAAGCCAGGAAGAGAACAGTACCAACCAAGTGCATTGTGCAGTACACGCGCCTCCATTAAATCCAATCATACTTGCCACCTTGTTTGTTTTAGAGTAATTACAAGATATTTTAGCAAAAACAGATAAGAGTTGTAATTTTTGTGAACTTTATTGCTTTGACGACGAGACTGTAATTTTTGATTAGAGATCAGGTGAAAAAGGGGGATGAGGTGTGGGAGAGTACGATACAAGTGTAGGGATGCGCGTGGGCAGGGAGGTTTTGAAGTACATCATGCAGTTATCAGACAAACAAAGGTAATGTTTTGAGTAGTTTTAAATTCCGAACCTTCTTCTGGTTTTTGTGTTTCCTCCGAGTGTGAAGTGGACAAATTTGAAACAGCATCTTACAGTTGGTCCAAACATTGCTGTTTGATAAGTTTCATCATAGCAGAGAGAGAGAGAGAACTTATAAAGTTATATCGAGCTACAAATAACCCAACCCGTATCTGGTCGGGTCATTATTCTCAATCAAACGTGACCTGGTTTTTAGTATTGAGCGATTTATCATAAAATTAAAGCGAAAAAATATGTTCTGAATTATAATTGAGATGTAAAATTAAATAAACTGGGAATTTTTTTTTTTTTTTTTGAAAGACATTATGGGATGATTAAATGAAAAAAAGTAGAAGGAAAAATAAATGGTATGATTAAGAAAGACGACAGAAGCAGAAGACAATATGTTTCTCTGGATGATTATAGTGGCAATACTATCAAAGGGAACAGAATGAAAGGAGAGTAGACCAATATATCCGTATAAAAGACGTAGATAGATATAGTCTTTACAGCTGTATAAATCCCCATAAAATCACAAAGATGTGTTTCTCTCCCCCAACCAAACGGTATATATCAAATAGCTTTCAGTTCCTCTGGATGTCACCACCCCGTATGATTTTGTCTCTAGCTGTAGTTGCAGTGGTCCTCTGCATTGTCTGGGTACATCACTATCCACCCAACTAAGTTACTAATTAACCTTTAACTTTAGCTGTCCCAATATTATTTCTGTAAACTTATTTCGTTTCTAGCTAAAAACATAATTTCCATTAATTTCGTTAACCCCAGTAAATTAACATCTTCATGGTCGTGGCAGGGTAAAGTTGCTGCATTGATCTCTCCTGCAAAACTACTTTATGTAAATTAAATGATCATCAATGAAAATTAAAAGGTTACCATCTTCCGTTGAATCGGAAACTTGATAAGATCCCGCATATTTACTTGCAGAGATCAAGCCATAATTAACCCACCTAAAGACCGATAATAATATTATTAGAAGACACAGTGAATACATATAGAAGAGTATAAGAGAGATGGGTGTTAGTTAAAAAACAATTATAAGCATTTTTAATGGCTATAGATTGTGGTAGAATGTATGGGTTGAGTTGAATGGTTTGGGAAGAAATGGGAAAGAAAAGATGGGGATAGCGGAAGATATATTGGTCCAGGGTTGAATACCCCAAGATAGGGATGGTGGCGCCCTACACAAGGGACACATATGGAAAGACTGAAAGTAACAAGTAGGAGGGGCAAAACGGCATCCCATCCATGCCATGCTCTTCTCTTTCCTTATCTCTTTAAAAGGATTGAAAATTCTAACAATCACCTTTCATTGGCTTTCAGTAGCCCTTGCATACATTATATATTATGTTATATATGGTATATAACCATATGTTTTATGTATGTATAATCCGGCTTCTTAAGTTATAGTTTATGTAACCACCTCCATCTTAAACTATTTCGGTCATTCTAGTATTTGATTTAATGAATCTAATTCCTTTTTTTATATATATAGATTTGAATAAATCAAATATTATATTTTTATACTCTTCATGTATTTATGTTTTTGGGATATTTTTTCTGGTCCTGCTCTAAAAGATATTGAGTTGGTATTATAGAATATCCAATATGGATCTTGATTTTTTTTAAAAAAGTTTTTTTCACGTTAATATTTTGTTTAATAAATAAAAAAAAATATTTTTTCTTTTGTTTTTATTTTTTAAATTGATAATTTTCTTTTGTGTTTATATTTATAAAATTATGTTAGAGTTATATTTTTTAATAAACTATCAAAATATAAAATAATATTAAAAATTGTATTTTAAAATTTTTTATTCTATTTTCAATTTTTACTAATATTTATTCTTTTTATATAGTTTTATAAATAAAATACATATAAATTTACACAAAAAGGCTAAAAAAATATATATAAAATAAATTTACTCCTACTAAACTAATACAATTACAATTTTAATTCTAAGATACTATTTAAAATAAAAATCTTTAAAGATTATTACTATTATTATTATTTTTTCAAATTTCAAAACCTCAAGTAGATGGCTTTTGGTTTTCCAATCGAAATAAACCCTAAAGTGGTGACCCGGCCCAAAAAAATCCTTCAACAATGAATTGTTGACCTAATACATCTTTTAACCACTTATTACTGATAAACGTATTTTTCAGTTAATTAATTTTATTAAAGTTTTTCTAATTAATTTTAGTGAAAATTAAAATCAAATCTACATTGTTAAAGGAAGAATAACACTTCATCATCGTTAATAAATATATTTTAAATTTATGTTATCACTATCTGATAAAAATTCTAAGTTTACCTAATATTTATAATTTTTTTATTAATCTCTTTTATATCATTACAAAATTTGTCTCGATTTATTCTATAAATAAACACAAAGTCCAAATGGGGTACAAAATTAACTATTAAGTAGTATCTAAAATTTTAAGAATATAATGATTTTATGATCAACATGTTTGTATTTTAATTAAATGATTAAATTAAATATTATTGAAAATATAGTATTTATTACTTTGTAGGTAGAATAAGTAATAGTGAATAATGTATAATATTTAATTGAATAAAATCAAAAGTTTAGTTCATCAGTGTACTAATGAGATTATGATAATTAAATTGAATTATATTTTTATATGAATTATATTTTTATAAGCTTATTATATTTTTAAACGAAAAAAATATTTTATGATAATTATATTTTTTTAATTAGGCTAAACCTCAGCAAAGTTAAAAATTTGAATAACTTTTTACTATAATAAAAAAATTAGTGCCTAAAGCTGACCTAGTTGGATTCAAATTTAAAAAGCAGCATTCACGTAATAAGTTGAAGGATAAGTTATAATAAGCAAGGACTTAAATCAAACCATTTTACGTGTTGAAGTCAATAATGAAATTGAGTAGGGGATTGGTATCTTGACTCAGTGCAGAATAAATAATATATTGAGTTTGATTTAGTTAAATTTTAATTTTATAAAATAAGATTAGGAATAACACTACAATTTCAAGCGAACAATTTAATGTTTAATATTTTAATTATTTTTTTAATGGTAATAAAAATTTATCACTGCAGATTAAAAATATGAATGATGTTCGATACTAATTTAAATAATTTTTAGCAAAGTAATTATAATTTATTTATTTTTTTAATAAGTAAAATTAGCTACTTGATTTTGCTAACTTGGAATTGGCATAGCCTGCTTCATTTGTCAAAGTTTACTTTTTTTGCCCGTTCGTTTGTTTTTGCGTGCATGATTGTAGCTTCGTGGTCAACGACTGTGTGAAGAGAAGACGAAGCCTCCCAAACAAATATATCCAAAGTTTTTGGTCAACCTCACGAATCACCTTCACCTAATTAGTTAACCTCATTCAAGATCTTTATACATTGTAAATACTTATATAGCTATGTAAATTTTAATTACTTATGAAATAACACATATATATATTTCCCAATGCATGTACTTTTACTCATTAATCAATATTTTTTAATATTTTTATCAAGCTTCCCCATATATGTATCTGTAGAATATTGAGAATTAATTTGTAAGTTTCTCTAATGACAAATAACTATTGACACATACATATATATATATATATATATATATATATACCAATTGAAGTGTAGATATTTAGGTATGAAATATTCTCCCAGCCTTCTTGTTATGAAAAAAAAGGTCCATATGCATTTACATGTATTATTAAAAGTACGTGTTCTGGCAAGTGGAGAAGATGGACTGGCTTCATGATTAACTCGATCGAGCTTATTGTAATTGAGGCGCATCAACAAGAACGACTTAAACCTTCTGGTCAACTCTTGCCACTTGCCACTTATACCCTCAGCTTCTTCATTTCACCATCATATATGTGTATATATATATATGTATAAACTAGCGTACATGATCAACGCCATCGAGCTTCTTGTAATTGAGGCGCGCCAACAAGGACGATTAATTGAAAAGTCTGAGTCAACTCTTGCCATTTGCCAATTTATATTCATACCCTCTTTTCATTTCGTCAATATATATATATATATATATATATGCATATGGTAGTGTACTTCAATTGCCTGTATAGCATACATTGAACCTTTTCTTAACACAGTTAAAAAGCTTCCATGTCGATCACTGGAATTCAGGGCATGCCTGTTGAAGTCACTGGTAAGATCCTGATATATGTACATGATAATCACTGCTTCCTATTCTTCATTGATGTGTATATATATATATGCGAGATAGCTTATACTCGTCTCACGCTTATATAATTTCGTATTTGCAGTTGTGGCGTGTTACAATTTGGAGGATAAAGAGTGGATATCAAGACAAGATCCATATGTCTCCGTTGAATATGGAAGGGCCAAATATCGAACCAAAACCTGCACTGGTACATTTTATATTATCAATCTATATATGTATATGTATATAAGATCAGTTGGGTTTGGCTTCAAACATCCAATGAATATTAATTCTACGATAATCATTGCCAACTTAAATTCTTTTGAACTTTCAGACGGTGGCAAGAACCCTACTTTTCAAGAGAAGTTCATTTTCACTCTCATTGAAGGCCTCCGGGAACTCAATATTGTAGTTTGGAATAGCCACACTCTCACTGCGGATGAACATATTGGCACCGGAAGGTAAAAAATTAAAAAAAACCACGTCTTATTAAATTTAACTTTTTTGATAATAGTTAATTTTTACAATATTAAAATCAAATATTTAATGTTTGAATCCTAATTCTCTCTTTGGTTAACTTTTAATTCTGAACTGAGCCATTATTTTAGTTAAAATTTAATTTTTTTTGAGATATGGAGAATATTAATTTGATTCACATTTTTTATTTTAGGGTTCCGCTACATAAAGTACTGTCTCAAGGTTATGATGATTCTTCTTGGCCTCTTCAGAGTAAAAGTGGCAGGTTAAGTTACATAATGGCTTAATTTTTATGAAAATTTAAGATTAATTATATATTCAAATATGTTATTGTATTAGACGTTATTGCTCATGCATATTGTTTCCAATTAATTGCAGGCATTCAGGAGAAGTTCGTGTTATTATACACTATGCATATGCTAATGTAATTCCTTAATCGTTTTTTTTCTTAATTTGCTCTTAACAATTTATAATTCTTATTCTCTTACTTAATATTTATTTTTGTAATACTTTATAATTATTTAGTATTAATGAAAAATTACAGCAAGGCAACACAAAATTAGCTCCGTCAGCGCCCAAGACAACTGCTCAGCCTTATGGTTCATATCCACAAGTGCCACCAGCTCCTTATCCTACAGCTACAGCGCCCTACGCTCCTCCCAATCCAACAACGTATCCACCTTCCCCATATCCGCCGGCCGGATATCCTCAACCACCGTTTTCTCCACTTCCTCCAGCCGTCTATCCTCCGCAACCATACCCGCCTGTTTCTCAACCCTCACCTTACTACTATCCTCCAGGTATATACGTATATATTCTAGTCTTTTCTCCCTACTTCTCCAACGGAGACACTATAAATGAAATTTCATAGCTTCCATAAATTCTCTATTACTGATTATTACGAGTTCATGTAAAGGATCTGAAATGATTATTTGTGTGCGCAGGTGGTCCGAGTGGAACATACGCGGCGCCACCAGCTGGGGTCTGGCCACCGCCA